TGGAGCAAAATGACACGTATCAAACGTCGTCGTTGACTCGATCAGTTTTTTGTGACGCGATTGGGCTCGGAGGATTTTGGTCGGTGGCCGTTTTACGCTTCTGTGGGGTGTAAACAAACCGGAGTTAGGGGTGGTTACGGTTCAGTTTTGAACTGGAATTGATCATTTGATCCGGGAATTTGTTAAATCGGAATTGGAACAAATCGAAGTCATAATCATAACTAAAGGTTCAAACTCAGGTTTACCAAAATTTTGAATCGAAACCGGAATCAGTAGTGATTTATGATCAGCTCAAATCATCTAAATAAAACATTTGCTACTTAAATTTATTTGCCAGTATAGAGTTTATTATCAATAATAATAAGCATCTAATATGGACAGTTTCAATTCAGACGCTACAATCTATTGTCCCATCCCGATCCCGTTAGTAAGTCTATACCTCATAATTAATCTAAATTCAAGATCAATCTAATGTAATCAATAATAAGACTTTTTTCATAGAATTTGCATTATTTTTTACTTTTCCTTGCGCATGATAATACAATTAAGTTTTTTTTTTTTTTTTTTTACATTCATCATCATTTTTTTAAAACAATTTTATAAGAACAAGTATTTAAACATAACTAAAAGAATTGGACCGTAATCGAAAAAAATTGGAATCAAAATTAGAAATTCAAGAACCGTAACTATAACCGTCTCTATAAGACTCAATTTAAATTCCACGTTTCAAAAGGATTGAATCCATCGATTTTTAAACCGAAACCATCGGTTGTAGAGCCTTGGGCATGTCTAGTCAAAGTTGTTTTTGTTTCATCTTTATATGTTTTTTGGGCTTCAAGATTCCATTTTAGCTTTTGATCTTGTAACGAAGAAGACAAAAACAGAAAGCTCTTGCATGAACATATTCTAGAATGGGAAAATGGCCAAATTCGTCCTACACTTTTTTATTTCCTTTTGCCTTTGAAAGTTTCAATATTATTTTTTCCTCACCGTGATTTCTTCTCAATATATATATATATATATATATCTTCATACAATTACAGTAGGACGTGAAAATGTGAAATCTACGTTGGCACAAAAATGAAGTCGTGGATGCTATCCGCTATATAATGAACCCCTTAAAAATGTTCCTACCATTAATGACTCCCACTGGAGATCGAGTTACTTCAATTATGCACTAGCATATTTATGAGTAACTTTCGAGAACAATTTCCCTTGAGATGAATGCTATTATCTGGCAGAGTTTTGGGATCTCTGAGGATAACAAGCTGAGTTTTCTTCTTTTTTCTATAGAATAATAGGTGTTCAAGAAGTTAGGAACTGGTCCCATGCATCTTTTGCAAGCAACCATAATACAAAATGTCCATTTGAGACCAATTCTTGAAATAGCATATACTTTTACTCAGCCACGCCTCAAGCAACCAAATCAAAGTAAACAAGATATCACTCAACTTCCCAGCTTCGCATCCAAAATACTACTGACTCCAGTATCATCAATAGGCAGCTCAACAATTCTGAAATCTTAACTTTAGTCACCATGTCAAGATCACTATATCAGGGTCGCATCAACTTGTGCAGGTGTTTAAACATTTCTTTTGTAGACACTTTAGCGAGCAATATAAAATAATGGCCAAATCAAAGTAACTTTTGAAAGAGGGAGCTGTACAATGTACATATATCTATAACTTTAAAAGGTATAGTATTTGTAATGCTTTTATAATCTAAAAATAAATATATCATCGCATAGTGCAATGATAGGTAAAGCTGTTAAGTCAATCGAGTAGCTCGAAAGCTCGTTAGAGCTCGGCTCGTTAATTTTGGTTAACGAGTCGAGCTCGAACTCGAAACATGCTCGTTTAGTTAACGAGTCGAGTCGGCTCGTTTGATACTCGAGTAGCTTGTTAGAGCTCGTTAATGAATATCATATTTGTCATTTTAGAAATCGAAATTATAAAAATTAAAAAATATAGGTTTTTATTAAGGTTAATTTGCACGAATTCGAACTCGAGTCACATATACATTTAACGAGCGAGTTCGAACACATTTTAAAGCTCGTTTTCCTAACGAAATCGAGTCGAGCTCGGCAGCCAAATACTCGACTCGACTCGGCTCGATTAACAGCTTTAAATTGATAGGAGATTTTGAATCGAAAACATGAATCAAGGGCTTTTTGGTCTTAACAATGCCGTAACCATACTACTTTGACTTTCAATAAATATGAGAACTTCGTATTTCCGTAGATGACGTATGAATCAAAATAGTAAACATTTGCACAAAAAAATTAGTATTAAAATACAAGTTGATCATAGCAATATACATTACATAATCTCAATTACAAAAATTCCTACCGTTAAACATAAAATATATTAGATTAATCTTCCATACATTGATACCATACACACTATTACCATTTGTTGCATGACATCTGAATTTAAGTTTAAAATATAAATTTTGTATATGAATCACGCATCGAATGACAAAAGTATATATACTATCACTATGTAAATATAATTATGTAAATTAAATGTATTAGTATAATTATCTAAATAATGTAAAATAATTAGAAGATAAAAAATATGCAAAATTTTTTTTGTCAATTTGTGGGAGAGATAAACAGTGTGCTTGGATAGTAGATTATTTGAAAAAAAAATTGGGAAAAAAAGTACAGTAATATTTTTTTGATATAATGCATGTGAGATAAAAAAAAATGTTAAAAAATGTGCAAGTAGACAAAATTTTACAAATAATTCACGATCCAAACAAATTATATAAACAAAAATTAGGGATTAAGAAGTCACCTTTCCTACGTTAATGATTCTAATTTTACCTTTTCCTTTTCCTTTTAGGCACAGCCATTAGAAAAATGGAAATCACCTAAACGGAAGAAATGAAAAAGGTGGGAATGGAAGTATCCTAGTTCGATTCGTAACCTTTAAGGCTTAAACTGAGCTAGTGCCGAGTGATAACTCATAAACCCTTGCAAAGAATCCTCGAAAGCTTCCTTCATTTACCATCGAGTACTACTATATCAAACTTCTTCTATTTTTTTCAGCACGAGAGTGATTAGCTAGTTTAAGAAGAATCGATGGATTTGGAACCCCTTCTCTGGATTATCTTTTTCCTCATGAATATGGGTCTCATCGCATTGAATCTCTACCAGGTACCTTTTTTTTTTCCTTTTGTTTTCCTTAATTTTTAAGGAAACCCCTGTAAGCCCTTTATGTTCCTTATGCTCATTCACACTGTTTTCATGTAATATTACTGGAGAAATTATTGTGGTTTTGGGAGGAAGGCAATGCCATTGTTGCTTTTTCTACTTTCTTCTGCTTAACGATAAGAATTCTCACCACTAATAGAAGGGGAAAAAAAGATCGATTCTGCGAAATTCTGATGCTCAAAAGCCTTTTTTTTTTTAAAATTTTTGTTTTGTTTTGGTGTAGCATTACTTTCTGTTTGTTTGGTAAAGAGATCAAGGGGGAAAAAATGAAAAATAGAAGAATAAGAAGAAGAATATAAAAATGTAAGCTATAGAAGATTGTACTTTGTCCCTGGCCCGGTTTTTGTTGCTTTTCTTCTCCTCCAAACGAATTTGATTCGAGAGAAAAAGGGAGAAGTTTTTTGGTTTTTGATGTGATCAGGTGTCCTTTTCAGCGATAAGTTTAAGGGAAAGTTAAAAATCTTGTGATTACGACAAATGCATGCGGGGTTAAAGCAGTTATAGAGAATAAACTAAAAGAAAGGGGAAGGCTGGATTTCTGTTAGTTCCTATTTACCTCTTACATACTGTACGTTGTCAATTGTCATGTTGCTGAGAGAATTAAAGGACAAGAAGCCTTAAGTTAGTTAAAAGACAAGCCTGATAGGAGATAGTGATGCTGCCTTTTGTTATTACTACAAATCGGTATCCAAATCAAAAGACGTGTCAGTGGAGGACACACTTGCAAATTACCTCTTCAAACACTCTGCTATGAAGGCAATTTTTCATTTTATCCGCATTTTGTTTTTCTATATCTTGTGCTTAAGTGGTTGAACATCTCATATGCTTGCCCATTCTTGGACAGATTCCAGTTACATTCTTGTATATTCTTGCTATTAAGCATCTATGCCTGTATCTCAATATTGTAATGGGTTTCTGTAGATTGTGAGTTTATCAGATTTGGAGGCTGACTACTTAAACCCATATGAATCATCATCTCGCATCAACCATGTGGTGATTCCTGAGTATTTGCTGCATGGCGCATTCTCCATTCTATTTCTTCTGTCAGGGCACTGGTTCTTCTTCCTGGCTACTCTTCCAGCAGCTTACATCAATTTGAGGAAGTAAGGGTTTTAAACTATCAGGTTCTAGATTGGTTGATTGTCTGGCCCGTTTATGCATATGCTGGAGTTGTAACTTATAATCTGAACTGTACTCTCTGTAATTCTGCATTTATTCCATCCTATCCTGTTTTCTTTACGCGAACTGACTGTCTTTTTTTAACTTAGTCCCATGAAAGGTGTTCTCTGTTGAGCCAAATATGCTTTGTCATCATTTATTGTTGGGAAAATCTCCAATTTAGTCCTCAAACTATTTCACTAAAGCCGATTTGGTCCCTTAACATTTTATTGCATGCATTAAGTCCTTTAACTAAAATTCTTATGCCAATTGAGGACTTACACGGTGTCGCCACCCAAAATATATGTTTCTGAACCCAAACCAACGGCGAGGTAGGGGCTTTTTTGGAAGTAAAAAGTACAATTTTCTACGGGAAGCAAGATACCATTGCAGGGTGTTTGATGCAGCTGGAAAAGTTTTTTTTTTTTTTCCAAAGAAGGCCCCGCGAAGGGGGGTGGGAGGGGGATGGTGTTTCAAGAGAATTGAATTGTGGTTGATTAATTTTTTTTGGTTAATCAATAATTACTTTACAGTGGAGAAGGATCCATCAACAGCAGCCATTTTGCTGTGAGAATGCTTTCATCCAAAGCATGCAGAAAAGAATAAGTAATAAAAAAAAATTGAATTATGACTCTGCAATTAGAGATGAGGTATCTGTCTCTTCTGTCCAGCTGGGACTAGGTTCACTCCAGGACCGTGGTCTTACTCCCAGTTTGTAGAACAAGATCATTTCAAGGGCTTCAAAAACCTTGTATGTATCCAAAAGCTCGTTCCAAACGCCACTTACGATGCAGTAATTGCTGTCATATAGAGGACGGTTATGAGCTCCGTGAATTGATCTAGATACCAGCACTCCAGCATCTTGCAGTGCCACCACCAATGGGTGAAGCTTGCTCTTTGTACTGTGAGCCCAGGCATGGAACTGCTGGCTAAACATGATGCAGCCTAAGCAGACACCAACAAAACCATGCAGCACAGGATCATTGAAGATAAGGTCTATAGGGAGAACTGTGAAACTAACAGCTCGAGCTAGAGTATGCAAGTTGTTAGCAAATTGGCGCCTTGTGATGATCCACGGCCATTTGTGATGGCCTTGAAATGCTTCAATTTGACTACCAAAAACCGGGGTGTTTTCATCGCCATAGTTATCAATGCCCCAGTGGTAGATTCCAGAGCCAAGGTCTGCCAGCATGTAGCCGACTAGCCCTGCTAAAATGGGCTGTAGCCATATGCCCGAATCAGCTGCAACAGTGACCGACTTGGCTAGAGAAACTAGCACAGTCGTGCATCCACTTGCCACCCATGCACGGTGATACCATTTTGATTTCAAGATTGGATCTTTGAGCATAGAAGTGCTTGTGACTGGGGAGCTCGGTTTTCAGTACTGGTGGTGGATCAGTTGATTGCAAGCTTGGGTCATCAAGTGCAATGGTAGTTGTGGCTGGATTTAGTCCTCAAACTCCCGTAGAAAATCTTGCTTCCCGTGGAAAAATCGTATTTTTTACTTCCAAAAAAGCACCTGCCTCGCCGTTGGTTTGGGTACAGAAACATATGTTTTGGGTGGTGACACCGTATAGGTCCTCAATTGGCACAAAAATTTTAGTTAAAGGACTTAATGCATGCGATAAAATGTTAAGAGACCAAATCGGCTTTAGTGAAATAGTTCAAGGACTAAATTGGTGATTTTCCCTTTATTGTTTCATGAAGCCATTTGATTTATGTGCAATGAACTCCAAATTTTTTCTTTGTTGTCATTTATGTTGTTTCTTGTGTTTCAGATTTATGAAGAGAGAACATCTTATTGATGTAACTGAAGTTTTCAGAGTCCTTAGTGTAGAGAAGAAGCTTCGGGTAGTCAAGCTGGGATTCTATTTACTTCTCTTTGTACTTGTCATGACCAGGTTTGCCCCAAACTTTTTTTTTCATGGAAGCTGGGGATGCATGCATTTCTTGTTTTTAATTATGCTTAAAGACTTGGTGTTTGCTTGTAGAATATATGCTGCTGGGACATTTTCTGTTGTGATGTCCGTCTTCCATTCAGATAATGAAGAATTAGATATTCGATCTTCCATTCTGGAATTTTGAGGAAAATTTTGATATTATATTAGCTCTACATATTGTAATAATTCTTCTTAGAATGATTAGGGGACTGATGATTAACTGTTTGCGTGAAAATATTCTTTCAATGGATGTAAATGTCAAGTTTTGATGTAAACTGAGGACAAGTTACGCAAGTAGTTATTCTCATCTTGTATTCTTCTTTTTGGGACCTTTTTCATTTTCTATTTTCTTTTGCATAGTATGATTTTACTGGTATTACCCAGGAAACTTGAAGCGTATCTAGAGTAGACAGTGAGCTTTCTTATGTAACACTTTATGCAACACGTTTGCAAGCTAAATTTCAGAAGTATTATCATCTTTGGGATTAACTATAGCTTTGCTAGAGATACAATGAGTCTTAAAGTCTTTTATGATTTTCAAATCTGCCATACATATTCAAGAAGCCTAGTATATCCCCAAGCTAGGTTGACAAATGCTTTGGTTTAAATTTGGGTTGGAGAGTGGTGTAACTTCCGAAGGAACGGATTAAGAAAAGGTAAGCCAGAGGCTAAAGATGATGAAGGCAATTCTTAAGGTGAGAGAAGAGGAGAAACAAAGGAAAAAGAAATGCTAGTGAAGGACTTATCACCGATAAGATGCACTGGATGATGAAGGAATTGTAATCTTTTCGGTGATGACCTAGAAATTACTGACCAAGTGAAGGAAAAAAAGAGAGAGATTCCTGAGAATGTCAATGGCCTTAAGAAGATACTAATTAGAGTAACAAGCACAGTACGGAGAAGTTGGCTTCATCTGTTGTTGGCACATTGGTATCATCAACTGGGTTTAAAGTGGTCTAAGTCGTCATAACTTTCAGCTTATTATCAGGCTTGTTGTTTTTGTCAAATTTAGGACCGAAGTAAAGATAGTGTATGTGCAACATAGGTACAGCGGTAATTGCTAAACGTTATCTGTGATCTTTGTTAGCTGTTGGTGCTTTATAATCGTGCCACCACATTCTTCCGAAGTTCTGGTGTTCATTGATAGAGTTTTTTAAGGTTTTCTGGGTGTGATGGTGTTGTGCTTTTCTAAACTTGGACTGATGCCTTCTAATTGCTGTTGCCTGACATGTGCATGCTTCAACTGAAGCAGACCTCGACCTTTTTCTGTGAGGATTCTAATTACTAAACTAATTTGCAGGCTTGTATTTGTTACCATCAATTCTGCAGTGGATGAAAGTGAAGCTACTCACCTTTTTGGCCTGTTCTGAACTCTTCCAGCTTTAGTGATGTGATTTATCTCCCTTCCTACTGGGCAGAAACATCTGTGAACCTGGATTTGGAGTCTGACCAACCAAACACATAACTCTCAAATCCAAGTTACTAACATAATTTTCTAGATGGCTGTGGAGTTATTAACCCTCTCGTATTACTATTTGCATGATGATGCATAACACGAAGCATGTAGGATTAGGAACCGCCTATAGGTATTAGAGCTACCGATGTGGATGGCAACTTCAGCATAATCATTTCTTTTACCCATCTTGACTTTGAGTGGGTGCACTTGATCTTATTAAAGTGCGTAACACAATGGCGTTTGCCTTGCCCTCTTTGCCGAAACGAACCTTTGTCATGCATTACAGAAGTTCAAAAACCAGTTACATACAGGAGGTCAATCTTAATGTACACAACCATCTAATAAATCAATTTTTCTTTTCGTACTTTTGAGGGAGAATTGATTCCAAAATTGGTCAAAGCCCAAATCAAATTGTGATTTTTGGACAACTTGTTTCTATAGGATAGCCATGAAATTGTTGCATTTGCCTCATCGGTCTGGTTTATTTGGATTTGTTCTGATCTCACTCACTGTTTCTGCGGAGCTGAGAAACCATTACCATCTGGTTAACCCCTTATGCAGAAGCACAGCATGATAATTTTTAGTTTTCACTGATTTCCTGCAATACAACTGTCCTCGCAAAGTTGTAATTACGCAATTTCTTTCCAATGGAACCTTATTCTCGCGACCCCCAAAAAAAAAAAAAAAAGAATTAGTGAGTCCTAGGGTTGTAAAAGAATCGAGTTCTTAATGAATAGTTCAGATTAGACGCATTAAGGGTTTAATTCGAGTTCGATTTTTGGTGAGGTTGAACTCAAACTCGAACAAGAATTAAGATTCGACCAATGTTTTGAATCGAGTTCCAATTTATGCATGTTCAACTTATTTAGGCTCAATTTGATTCGATTAATTTTTTTATGTTTTTCAGAAATATGTATTTATTTATTATTTTGTTATATAAGGATTATGTATGTATTATTAATAAATTAATGATAAACATAAGAAAATAAAAAATTTTGAGCAAGTTTGAACTTGTTGAATGCTATATCGAATCGAAGTCGAACTCAAATTTTAAATTCGTATAGGATTCAAGATCAAAATTTCTAATCGACCCTAACAGTTCAAAACTTTGATTCGATTCGTTTACAATTCTATCGAGTTAGTATTTTAACTCTTAAAACTTGGGGTACATTTGATAAAATTAAAGTTTGAAAACTAAAATATGAAGTCTGAAACTAGAATTCATTAGGTTAATTACTAAATACTAAATTTGATACATTTGAATGTATATCATATTAAGTGATAAGTGAATAGTTTATCACTTATTGTTTGGAGCAAGTTTTGTTAGGAAATTTAGTGTCACTTAATTAATTTAAATGTTCTATTTTTTATTATCAAATACATTGGAGTATGTTAAGATCTGAACACATTAAGTTTAAATGCTAAACTAGATTATTAAACTAGGTCTTGGTGTCATTTTATCACAAAAAATTAATTATCCAACCTATATTTTGGAAACTTACCCAATAAATCTTCAAACTAATTAATATATTAGTTGAACCATTAACCATGGTCACCTAAACTCATTGTTTTGAAAACTGGACCAGACCGCCTAGTTTGATTGGTCGGATTGCAAACCGGTCATAACTCCGGTCCGATAAATATCTCGGGTTGATTGGATTTAAAAATCGGTAAGAACCGTTTGAACCGTTAAACCAGCGATTTTTTTCGTTTTTGTCTATTAAATTGAAATATATATATATATATATATATCAAGAATAGATTTTTCTTAACCCTAAAGACTAATTATTAAATGCCACATCCACTCATTTTCTTCTCATTTTTTGCCTTTTATGAAGTTTGCATCTCTATTTTCTATTTTCCTAACTTCCTCCAAACTTTTTTTTTTTTTTGTTAGTTGCAATTTCTAAATTCCAAAAACGTGAATTAAAAATTTAAACTCACAATGTCTAATTCCCATGGATGTGAATTTTGTATAATTTTAGAATATTGTGGTATTTTTGGGTTGGATTTAAGATTTTTTTTGGTAGATACAATTGAAATTAAGATAAAATTTAATTGTTGCAACTTTTAATTTTAAATTTTTATTTATTAAAATCCAAGTTCTTTGAAAATATTATATTTTTCATCATATAAAGTCTTAAATTAGTCCATTGCATATCTTATTTTGTACATATATATTTATATAAATTATTTTTTTAAAAAAATTATTGAATCAGGATTGAACCGGTCCGACCAATTGATCCCAACACCTCGCTGGTTTCAAAACATTGCCTAAACTTTCTACTGAAACCGAAACAAACCAAACCATAGGCATTCAAAAAATGGAAACAAGGTGCTGTAAATTGCAACAGGTTGATTTTAAAGGACCAGATCCCAGATCCCATATCGGGCCCTTAGGTGACCTCCAAACCCTCCAAAATTGGACCCAAAAATCGTACAGGTCCACATTAACAGTGAAGATTCTCATCACTTGGGCCCACTCTATCTGACAACTGTCAAAATGGGCACGTCCCGCCTGACCCGACAGAGGATGGGCTAACCCCCTGAAACACATTGGTACGGTGGCTTTCTCTTGGAAAGTCAAATTTCAGTGACAATTGATAACGAATCCGATTGGGCCTATTTGTCATCTCATAATGCTCAATGGGCCCTACTAACACCCATTTGTTTGGGTTAAATTTGAAGAAGCCACAAACCATATAAAGGAATATTACTAAATCAACACACAAAGAAATCAATAGCCCACATTGGTCTATATGATCTATTAATATTGGTAGGCACCACCCAAGATGGTGATTCTGCACTATGAAAACCATTAAGATCATTATGTAACCAATTTGCCATTATAAAGTTTGAAACTCGAAAACCTTACAACACGCGCATAGCGATCCATGGTTTTAATGGTTTTAAGTAAGTTTTACTACGACTCGAGTGGTTCCACACCATGTCCATCCCATGGTTTTAATGGTTTAAAGTAAGAGGACGACAAGATGGTGCTTATAGGCTAAACATTTGTACTTAATTGTAGAACAATGAAGGCCCTACTTAATTGTAGGCCATGTACATAGGGGAATGGGGCCTGCGATTGGATTTTTTAAATCCCTCTTGATGTGTTTGGTCCTTGGCCCTCTCTACATCATGTTGGGTCCTTGTCAGGGCCTGAACTGGACAGGAGTTTTCTTCCTGTTTGCAATGTGGGTCATAGTTGCCCGATATCATTAATTTGTGTTGGGTGTTCTAAAAGTTGGTATCGTACTCGATGGGTCATAGTGTATGGGCCCCAACCGTTGGAACAATATCCATGAGATATCTTCCGATGCAACTGTACAGCTGTTGTTCATCATTCATAATAGCGACT